CGCTCTTCCTGCGGGCGAGTGAACAGCTGGCAGAAGAGACGAGGGGTTTAAGTTCACACGACGGTTGCATAAAGCCAAGTTGTTCAAGTGTAGCCACAGGCCACCTCAGGCTACACTTAAAAGCTCTGATTATCCCACAATGCTACAAAATTTACTGAATTACACCTTACTGAGTATCTTACTAAGGCACACCAGAACCATCACATCAACAGATGAAGCAAACGCCAGTAAGCATTAAAAGAACTGCAGAGTTTGGGGAACTGTGGGAATCTTAATCTCATCCAACAGAAAAATATTACATGTTTTACAATAATGATTCAAGTCCTACTTCTAGGACTTGGGACCTCTATGTAAAGAGGCACCATATTCATGTTTTCCTTGGCTAGACTGACGCCGCTGGGGAGGAAAAACACCAGGCAGAAATTCAGAAAGGCACAAGTTTGTCTTAGAGGGACAGCACCACGATGCTGCTCCTGCACGTGGACAAAACGGCACGCAAACCTGAAGTGAGCAAGGTAAACACACGCACGTCAGGAGCCGTGTACGGAGATCAAAGATACACGCGTGTCAGCAACAGGGTTAGGAACCAGGACTCAAAACTCCCAGTCCAACGCTGAAAGCACACTATTAAGAAACAGGCTCAAATCACAGTGCTGACCTCACGAAAATCTGCTAACGAGGTATTTTTACTGCATGTTTAAAAAAAAGTAAGCGTTCCAGGTGAATTGCAATCTGTTTTTATAAAAATCCGTGCAGCTAGATATACTTGAGCAATTTTAGCAAGCACGTTGAACCAGGTCACCTGTGGTCTTTAGAAATACCTAAGAGAACACAGAAGAACTTTAAATTAATGGACTCGCTGTACTGCACAAGACTTTATTCTCCTTATTTAACATTTAGACAGACCTACTTATATCACTCACTAAAGGAATTCATCTAACGGACGCGTCGTTTTCTGCACAACCTAATTCACTGAATTCTCCAGTAGGCTGATGCAGGCTGCACGCAGATGTCATCTAGATCTAGCTGCACCAGTGAAGAAAAAAATTCTCACCCAACAACGTTTTTCCTGGTTTTTAACACTGCCAGAGGTTCCCATCTCCCTCCTCCAGCTGACAGCAGAGACCATGACAACGAAAATAAGCCAGGTTGGTTTCATTAGCCTCGCTCCCTTGGATGGCTTCAAGCTCGTGAGCGCTCAGAGCGGTGGCTGGGGAGGAGACACGGCCTCTACCACAGGGGCTGCGGCTACTTACTGGTTCCCTTCGCTTGCCACAGTTCTGGGCTCAGACTCGGTGATGACTTGGATTTCCACTTTCTTGGCTCTTCCATCTAAATAGGAAGACTATGCTCTGAACACCTACTCCCGTCATTCATACAACATGAAGAACCATCCCCGAGAAGCTTCCAATACCAACAAGTTTGCCATAAAAAGCACAACGATCACTCATATCCACTTAATTTAGCGCCACTTTGTGGCGAGTATCTCAAAGGAAAGAAAAACAACAGTGTCGTATGAGAAAGGAGGGTATGTTTGCTGAATCGTCAGTATACGTCATAAATTGATGCTATGGGAAATTCTCTTTCTGAACTCTCAATCTGCTTTTCTCAGGACAAGCCAAGAGAAGCATGTAATCTTTGGGGGTAGCCGCGAAACAAGAAAAGCAGCATTTGTTACATGCTGCTATTAAAAATACAAACAAAGCTTTGCCTAGGAGTTTCTGGTGCATTTGCAGAAGTCTGTGACCTGAAAGTGACTCTCCTGTACAGATGTAGTTTTAACAGAAAAACAAACCAACCAACCGACCAAACCACCCAACCCTGATCTTGCAGAGATCAGCACCAAGATCATCTGCATCCAAACTGAAAATTTACTGCAAGTGTAAACAGAAAATTCATACAGGAAAATCTGACAGTAACTTCTTGTCCTTCCCTTAGGGGAGACAGAAACTCAGCTGATTCATTAAAACCTCAACCTTTTATTTAAACAAATATCTAATTTTCTGGCATGCAAAAATAGCCCTTCAAGTATGAACTACCATGAAATAAAGGAATGATGTTTTTACATGTAGGATGATTACGTTACACTGGCCCCGACACTTGTAAAAGCTTTGCCAGCCAGAGAGTGAACAAGGCCAGCTGGTTTAATTTCATTAGAAGATATTCATTATCTTTGGGTCAACGTCCAGACAGATCTATTACTTTCCAGCACACACAAGAGAGCAGTACTTCAAAACTTATTAGTCAAGAGAACCACAGAAAATCCAATTCCCCGGTGAATGTCTAACAATTTTGCCCACTAATGAAGAATGGTCTAAATTCCCAAGTAAGAGCCTGCCGTAAGAAGTCACAGGAGGAGGCAGGAGACTTGTTTTCAAAGCATCTTTTCTAGCATGACAATTAGGTTTTTACCTTTCACTAAGCCAACCTCTGATACGGTTAAATATTTCTTCTTTGTTTAAACACTAAACATCTTGAAGTGGTGTTTTTTGATATGATGAAATCCACCAGGCCGTTAAAATTAAAGCTTTTTTAAAGTGAAAAAATCATTAATTACACTTTATAGAACTCTCTTAATTTTCCCCTATGCAAAATACAACACAAATTCAGGTGTAACTGTATTTTAGACTACCAGTCCTCATAAAAATCCACTGATTTATCATCAGAAAGCCTCTATGAGTAAGCAGTACATACGACCTCAAAGAGAATCACAGAAGGGACGAGGCTGGATCGACCTCTGGAGATGATCTCGGCCGGCCCTGCTGCTCAAAGCCGGGGCAGCCGGAGCAGGCTGGCCCCGACTGTGCCCAGTCCGTCCTGCACATCGCCACGGATGGAGACTCCACCGTCTCTGCCGGCGATGCTCTGCCTCGCGCAGCCCCGGAGGCCGCTGGCCTTCCTTGCTGCAAGGGCGCGTTGCTGGCTCGTACGCAACCTGTTGTCCACCAGGACCCGAAGGACCTTCTCTACAGAGCTGCTTTCCAGCGAGTCAGGCCCCATCCTCTCCTGGAGCCTGGGGTTATTCCTGCCCAGGTGCAGGGCACGCATGTCCCTTTGCTGAACTTCACAAGATTCCTGTTAGCCCGTTTCTCCGGCTCCTCCAGGTCCCTCTGAATAGCAGCACAACCCTCCGGTCTCTCAACCTCTCCTCCCAGTTTGTATTTCCTCCATCTCAAAGTTTGCTGACAAACAGCAAATTAGACTGGGGCACAAAGGGGAAGGCAGTGTTTTCAAATTTAAATAATAATACTGCAAATGACATGTTAGAGATGACTTGGAAACAGATAAAAACTGAATTCCCAGAAAAACAGCTTCAAAACAATTGTGGTTAGGAATCGGGCAGGTAGGAGAACAGGTTTAAAACAACTGTGGTTAAGAATCAGGCATGCAGGAAAACATTCTCAGGTTTTCTTTGTAGGCAACGACATGTGCAAGGCTCCAAGGAGATATATGCTGGCCTGCCGGACAAAGGGCAACTCGTATTTGCACGCAGTCGAAAGCTGTTGCGAAAAAGGACAGCTCTTGCTACCGCTAGGAATGCTTACCTGGTTAGCTGTATCTCTGCTTTGCTACGCCTCGTGGCTTGCAAAAGCTTTCAGCATCACTGAGAACAGCACCAGGTCCAAAGTACTTCCTAGGAACTCTATTATTAATTGTTTAAACTGAATTTGAATAGTCACAATATCATCACAACTGTTCCGAGAATCAAAACCACACTGAAGTTCACCAGATTGGTGAACGTGGCAAGATTTATTGCAAACCATCCAGGGAAAACCATGCAGTAAGAATACGGTCTGTTTAAGCCTCTGCAAATATCACTGCATTTATGTCCAGGGGAAAGAAA